AATGCCTTGTACTCTACCATGTTATTGGTAGTATCTTGGTAATCCAAAATGAATGAATAACAATGTTGAATTCATGTTGGATTAGTGATGACAATCCCAGCTCCAGCAGCATGTTGAGTGTAAGACCCATCAAAATATAACCTCTAATGAGTGATTCATAGGCTAGTTATTCTCCTTACTTCTTGCCGAATCCACTATTCCTTTCCCAAGTGATCCTTACTAGATGGAATCCAAAGGCTGACCACTTCCAGAGTTCCTGGGATGTTAACAAGCTTTTCCTGGGGTTCTTGGTGCTCGGACAAAAGTCTGCAATTGCTTGCCCCTTTATTACTCTTTGAGGCACATACTGAAAATTGAACTCTGATAGTGCTGGAATCCACTTCCCAATTCTTCCAGTTAGCATTGCTTTAGACAACATGTATTTAATTACATTAGTCTTGGCAATGATATGGATGTGGTAAGGCAACATGTAATGTCTTAACTTGCAGGCAGTGCAGTACAAAGCCAAACATAGCTTCTCAATTGGGGTATATCTTGTTTCTACCATAGTAAGGATCCTACTAAGGTAGTATATTGCTTGTTCCTTCCCTCCTTCATTGTTTTGAGCCAATAAGCTTCCTATTGACTTATCAGATGCAGAAATATAGAGCTTCAAAGGTTTGCCTCTCTAAGAGGGCATGAGTACTAGTAGAGAGGCTAGACAAACTTTTAGTTTGTCAAAAGCCTCTTGGTGTTATGGACCCTGATAGGATTTTTAGTACTCATGTGAACGGGTTTAAATCTCCTATTTTACTTGCAAGAATCACAAGGTTATTGTAGTATAAACGGATTTCGCAAGGTCATCTCCACAGGGATTATTAAATAATTCGAAAGTAATCAGATTCCAATTAATTATTGTAAAGTAGAAACTTAGATGATTGATTTTATAACCTACTTAAATTAAAAACGAATTTAACTATTAAAGATAAGACAATCTGCAATATTAAAACTAGAGAGAAAAGAAAACAGTTTTGGGAGAAATCAAATTAAGAAAGCACTAGAGTTCCACCATCACCTAGCAATCCTATGAATTTTTACCCATTACTTATGATCTATACATGCCACTTTGAAGGTTAGATTTTCCTAATTCATATTCTACTTGGAACCTCCAACATAGAACGTATATCTAACATGCAACCCGTCCGGACGTTCGGATCAAATCTGAACATGAAAGACTCATTATGCTTTATGAAAATCCTTTGAAAAACCATGCAATCCTTTAGACGTGATATTCATCTTAAGTGAAATTACAATTATTAATCACAAGAAGCCAGCGTCAATTTCAGGGAACCTTCCGACCAAAATTGCATCAAATTACTTTTCTAAAAATCCTAATGGTGATCAGGCATTAAAACAATTAGATAGTTTTTATCTCGGTGATTAACAATTCAAAGTACGCATGCAATCAATCATAAGCAATTAAATAAAAATCACATATTCATGCTAAGGCTCAAGGCTTCGTCCTAGCAAAAGAAATTAGTTCCACATATTCATAATTGAAATCATAGAAATATCTATTAAGAAAAGGATTGAAAACACCTTCAAGTACAAAGTCTTCAAAACCCTAACAGTTCTCTCTGTCTCCAAAATTGCATAAAAGAAAATGTCTCTCAAACTGTAGACGGCTCAGCAATATATTTTCCAAGCCACCACACAAAACCTAGGAAACATAACCCTAAATTAAATAATAAAATTCGTCTAAAATCTGAACAGCCACGTTTTGGCCCATAAGCTGCTCCAAAACTGGCCCAATATAGCTGGATTTCATGTTTGGAATATTCTGAACACTTTTCCAGAAGACCACGAACCCATCCAAGGTCATCTTGGGCTCCAAAAACGCAATTTAAGCCCAAAAACGTCATTTTCCAGCACTGCGCACTGCTTCTTTATTTCATCGCCAGAAAATCACCGCTTGGTGGAAAAATCCCAAATTGTGATACGATTAAGCTAAGTGACTCACGAACGTCCTCCAACTGGAATTACTCCAAAATTCGTCCATTTGGTCCTGTTGCTCTAGAGGAAGTCGAAAGTCCTATATGAAAATACAATTCAAAGTATCAAAATTCTTCCAAAATATTAACCAAAATATACTAAGATTAGGGTAAAATATATAATATAAAATCTACTCATCAAATACCCCCAAACTTAGCTTTTTACTTGTCCTCAAGCAAAACAAGACTCAAACAAAAATAAAAACTTAACAAACTAGACAACTAGCTAAATTTAACTGACAAAAATTTTCACCTTCAAAGTTGCAATCCATAGCAAATTTTAAAAACTAGAACATTTTTTCAAAAGTTCCAACCAATCCCACCACATAATCTAAGCCATTTAGAATCAATTAGAAAAGAATTCACAAACTTCCTTTGGTGTAAAGTGAACCAACATAGTTAAGAAGACTCGACTAAAACCCTTACCTCTCGTCCTTCTTTATTCCACACATACTCTCATTAAATATAACTATTTTTCATTCATTTTTTTTTCTTTTCAATTTTTTTTTTCCTCATGTATAACATTTTTTCTTTTCAGTAACAGTAATGGTCGTGCAATGTCGGTTCACTTAAGCTTTCAATCCGACCCATGTAGCGAGCTTTAGGTCAATGACTCCCAAACCACTAGGGCTTTAGGGCACTAGGTGTAGAACACCCCTAAGGACTTATTAACCCGAGCTGAAAAGGCTACAAAACCAACTAACCACCCTGCCCCATGCCAAAACTCTACCGTTTGACGCGAGAATCACTGCTGACTAGGCAGGACTGGCCCGGTTACTAGGCAAAACCTCGGGTGAGACAATTATTACTTTATTCACAATAATAACTGACTTTACTTAAAACAAAAATTAAAAATAAACTTAGACTAAAAGCAAGTGTTTCAATCTCACTCCCCACAAACCATGTTGCTGTGATGTGCAAAGTTCAAAGTATAATTCATGAATTAGTGTCTAAGCAACGATAAATAAAAAAGACTCTAATGTGGGATTAATCTTTACCATGTCCATTTGTTCTAACGTTTAAAATAATCTATGGATATTACTTTAACAAGAATGAAAACTTTTAAACTTGACACAAAAATTAAAAACCAAAAATGTTATTTCCTACCCCCAAACTTAGTTCACACGTTGTCCTCAAGGTGTGGAAAATTAAAAAAAAAATGACTCCTTACTACTAGAAATTCCTAAGACACAAAAATAAATGAATCTAGACAAATAAAAGGAAACTAAAATGAACTCAAACCTAAAATAGGCAAAGAAACAGCAGAAAATATAATAAAACAAATAAAATAGAAAAACAAGAAAAAGAACGAGCTGACCTGGAGTCGAACTCGAGACCTGGAAGCAGCATGAGGCTCTCCTTGCACGCACACACAAAGCCACACGTGCAGCCTTCACGTGTCAAGTACCCTAGCACTTTGCTATATAAGCTGCATATAGCATTTCAGATGCTCGTCTAACAAACCCTATCCGTGCCTTTTTAGCTCTCTCCAATTCCCACTGACCTCGAGCCCAGCGCTATGAAGGCCCTTCGTTTCAGAATCTATCCAAACCAAAATCATTCGAGTTCAGTCACCACTCCTCTGCGATGTCCTCCTTTATCTTCTTTTTGCCTCCATGTCTCAGAAATCCAGCTCCCTCGAGCAACAAGACCCTTAGTCTGTGAAGATGAAATCGCAAATCGCATCCTTCTCTGAATCTGACACACTCACAGGTATTTTTTTTTTATCCCCATCTCCCTTCGATTTTTGTCTCACATGCCTCAGTATGTTGAATTTGCTTTTTCGTCATGCATGCAGAGCTCTATAAATTCATCATGTCTTATTCTCTGTGCCGCTTGGATCCCCACTGTGAGTATCCCTAGACCTCATCCTGTACTCCTTCTGTATCTGAGATGAATGGATAAATGTATGGATCCACGAGTAGTTGAGATTAGACCGAATGAGTTCCGAATGCAGCCTGCAGTCACAAATCAAAAACCTAATTAGATAAGTACAGAAAATAACAAGAATTAAAATTTCAATTTTTTTTCTTTCTGATTTTTTTTTTTTATTTTTTTTTGTGATTTTTGTAATTAGGAATAAAAGCAAGAAGGTAGAATGAAAATAAAAAGCAAAGAGTTAGAAAAATTGGGTTGCCTCCCAATTAGCGCTTTAGTTAATGTCTATAGCTAGACGTAGAGAGAAGAATTGAATATCACGTCACTTGTTCCCTTCGAGTTAACCACTTCTTGATAGCATCATACGACAACAGTAGGTATGGAATGAGTTGTTGTTTATCAGTGGTTGAATTCTTCATAAGTGCACTTCTATGTGAATGAATCTTTGTGATCAAATAAGGTTGTTTCCAGTGAGGTTTATGTTTCCATCGAGCTGCCTTGAACCTTGTATTTAACACCCACAACCTCTGCACTGGCAGAATTTCTCTACGAGGAATTTGGCTGTCACGGAATTGATCCTGATTTTCTTTAAATTTGATGAATTGTGATGTTTGCGTGTCCAATTCAACAACCAAAATTTTCTGATCAGTAGCATGTTGCTCCGAATCCAAAATGGTCAGAGTAGTCAAAAGCTGATCATGTGATGTCTGATGTACTGATTTTGAATGAACAGTTTCTAACATATCAATTCTTGTGCATTCGTGCAGCCCTGTTGGGAAGGGTTCTGGTGGCACATAAACTTGGGGAGGAAAAGATTGTGGGGAAATTGTTTCACGATCAGCAGGTGGTGTTTCCTCCCTTGGGCATGACTGGCTGGCAGATTGCTCTTCCGTTTCTACACCAATTTCCTCTTGATCATCAAAGCTTTTCCCACAGTTTATTAATGGTTGAATCTGAAATTCTTGATTAGTTACTTCTATGTATAAGTCAGTTAATTCCAACAATTTAGAGAGCTTGTCCTCCACTGAAAGCTCTTGTGGCACATTAAGTTGCTCAAAATACTGCCCAAGATGCTCTTTCAAACTTTGAGTGTAGAACTCTGAATGGGGATTATTCCAGTTCCATTTTGAATCGTTTCTCATATATATATACTCTTGGACATAATCTGGAAAATATTTCCTCTCAGGACATTGCAAAATATCATGGGTCCTTGAATAGCAAAGAGCACAAACTGTAGGCTTAAATCCATAATAACCCTTTTCTGCTAATGACACCCAAAGAGGTGGTCCATCGGGTGTTAGATTGAATTCAGGGGGAACTGCAAATTCCATTGTTGCACTGCTAAAAAAAGAAACAAATTGTAACCTACCAAACAAAATCAACAATTAAATAAAAAGATATATACAAAAATAATTAACTAAGAGTTGATATGCACAAATTATCTTTGTAATCTGAGAAAAATAAAACAAAAACGAAAATTGGAAATGTTTTTTTATATGTATAAACAGCAATAACTAATTGAAAATCTGATTAGTAGGAATTATTTTAAATAATTCCCGGCAACGGCGCCATTTTCTTGATAGGATTTTTAGTACTCATGTGAACGGGTTTAAATCTCCTATTTTACTTGCAAGAATCACAAGGTTATTGTAATATAAACGGATTTCGCAAGGTCATCTCCACAGGGATTATTAAATAATTCGAAAGTAATCAGATTCCAATTAATTATTGTAAAGTAGAAACTTAGATGATTGATTTTATAACCTACTTAAATTAAAAACGAATTTAACTATTAAAGATAAGACAATCTGCAATATTAAAACTAGAGAGAAAAGAAAACAGTTTTGGGAGAAGAAATCAAATTAAGAAAGCACTAGAGTTCCACCATCAAGCAATCCTATGAATTTCTTATGAATTTTTAACCATATTTATTTTCCTATAATATCCATATACTATATTGATTTTTAGATTACATCCTACTTCATAAAAGGTTAGATTTCCTAATTCATAGAACTATATCATAAATCCGCAACATTAGACGTTATCTAACATGGAACGGTTCCGACGTTCGATCAAATCTGAACATGAAAGACTCATTATTTGCTTTATGAAAATCCTTTGAAAAACCATGCAATCCTTTAGACGTGATATTCATCTTAAGTGAAATTACAATTATTAATCACAAGAAGCCAGCAATTTCGTCAATTTCAGGGAATTTCCTTTCCGACCAAAATTGCATCAAATTACTTTTCTAAAAATCCTAATGGTGATCAGGCATTAAAACAATTAGATAGTTTTTATCTCGGTGATTAACAATTCAAAGTACGCATGCAATCAATCATAAGCAATTTAATAAAAATCACATATTCATGCTAAGGCTCAAGGCTTCGTCCTAGCAAAAGAAATTAGTTCCACATATTCATAATTGAAATCATAGAAATATCTATTAAGAAAAGGATTGAAAACACCTTCAAGTACAAAGTCTTCAAAACCCTAACAGTTCTCTCTGTCTCCAAAATTGCATAAAAGAAAATGTCTCTCAAACTGTAGACGGCTCAGCAATATATTTTCCAGAAAATGTCTAAAATCTGAACAGCCACGTTTTGGCCCATAAGCTGCTCCAAAACTGGCCCAATATAGCTAGATTTCATGTTTGGAATATTCTGAACACTTTTCCAGAAGGCCACGAACCAATCCGAGGTCATCTTGGGCTCCAAAAACGCAATTTAAGCCCAAAAACGTCATTTTCCAGCACTGCGCACTGCTTCTTTATTTCATCTCCATAAAATCACCGCTTGGTGGAAAAATCCCAAATTTTGATACGATTAAGCTAAGTGACTCACGAACGTCCTCCAACTGGAATTACTCCAAAATTCGTCCATTTGATCCTGTTTTGCTCCAGAGGAAGTCGAAAGTCCTATATTGAAAATACAATTCAAAGTATCAAAATTCTTCCAAAATATTAACCAAAATATACTAAGACTAGGGTAAAATATATAATATAAAATCTACTCATCAGACCCCACTCAAACTCTTCTTGATTTTTCAACCTTAATAAAGGAGTCAAGGGTTGGATTTTACGCGCCAGATTAACAATATCTTCTTAAAAAGTTGATCTTCCCCAATAGCCCTTGTAGTTACACTTTTTTAGTGGGAGAAGGTGGCTCCATTATGGCCCGGGCTTTATTCGTATCTATCTCCACTTATTTTTTATGCACTAGGAATCCTAGAAATTTGCCCGATCTAACCCCAAAGGCACATTTCTTAGGGTCCATCTTCAACTTATGGATCCTCATTCTCACTAAGGCTTGTCTGAGGTCTTCCAAGTGTTGCTCCTCAATTTTAGACTTTATCACAATGTCATCAATGTATACCTCCATGCTATGGCCGATTAAATCATGAAAAATGGCGTTCATTGCTCTCTGATAGGTAGCACCAGCATTTTTCAGCCCAAATGGCATGACTACATATTCATATACTCCTACATGTCCTAGGCACTTAAAGGATGTCGTATGTATATCTTCTTTAGCCATTTTTATCTAATTATATCCAGCATTTCCATACATGAAGGATAAAACTTTATGTTTTGCAACTGCATCTATGGATAGATCAGCCATGGGCATGGGGTATTCATCTTTAGGCGTGGCTTCATTAATATTTTTATAGTCGACACAACACTAGATGACATTAGTTACATCTTTTAATACAGGTACAATGTTGGCCAACCACTCAACATACTTTGCAGACCTAATAAATCTTGCCTTCACCAACCTCTCGATCACTTCCTTAACTTTCTTTTCTATTTCCTTCGACATTCTCCTTAGTGCTTGCTTCACAGGTTTGTACCCTTCCTTGATAGGAATTATGTGCTATACTAAACTAGGGTCCAATCCAAGCATCTCTATGTAATGCCAAGCAAAGCAATCTTTGAATTCATGCAAAAGGTCTACTATATTTGCACGATCCCCAGCTTCTAACAAGCCATTGACTTGTATTGACCTTGGATCTTCCTTAGTCCCCAAATTAATGGTTTCCAAAGGGTCTTGTATTTATGGTGTTGGTTTATCATGCTTTGTACACTAAAACTCAATTGACTTTAGACCCTCAGGCACATCATCTGGCCAGTCCAAGTCATATATACATTTAGCCACCTGATTGTAATCAATTGGTCCTTCCTATTTTGTTTTGATATCATTGGTGTTGGTGGGCTGGGACAATGTGAGGTATGTCTCATTCCTCCTTGGTGAGAGACGATCCTTGTTCTAGGAGCTTCTGGGTCGTCACCTTAGTAGGGCGGCCATTCTTATCAGCTCCTAGGCACTGCAAGATCCCAACACTGGGATTGTATAAGTTTTTTTCTACAACATTGGTTATGGGAAGAAATGGTCGTGACTCAGCCTACACAATCTCCCAAAATCCTGGCTCTTCAGCTCTATCCTCGTGGTATATAGCAACTTGTTAATGTAAAGTAAATGGTATTGACAGACTTTGGTGAATCCAATCTCTCCCAAGCAAGGCTCCAGAGGTAGAATTCTTGTCTACCACAAAGAAAGCCAACATGATTTGCTTAGACCTCAAGTCTACCTCCAAGGGCAATATCTCATATGTTTTAGTGATAGCCTCAGATAAACTAGAAATTATTAGATCAGTGGGAATAAGACCTTCCTCATTTTTGCACAACCTCTTCATTTGTTTGAGTATGAGCACGTTCACCATTGCTCCCTCATCTATCAACGCCCTCTTGAAAGGTACTTCCTCCAGATGAGCAGTCACATATATAGGCTTGAGATGGTTTTCCACGGCTAGGCTTGGTCTACTGAACACCATTTGGTCAGAATATACCTTCTCAGGCTCTTTTCATGCAGGTTCGGGCAAGTCTACCATGCTTAATCCTCATTTCCTAGCTTCCTCAATGTTAACAAGTGCCATCATTGGTTCTAGTGCCAAATAATCACCCTTCATTGTAGTTGGTTGATCTGGTTCAGCACAAAACATGGTTGAGAAAAAATAAGCCATGTTTACGTGGAAATTTCTAGGTTTAGGTACTTCTTCTTCTTTCTTTCCTCCAGTCTGATACACAAATTGATCCATCCATGCATGTGCATCCTTTGTCAACATCAATTCGAGCACCTCCTATTCTCTAGCTACACCAAAGCATGTAACTCCCTTAGGATTTCACAGAGAGTATCTACCAATGAAGGTGAAGGTAACCCTTTCTCAGGGGAGATAGTCCTAAAACAGATAGGCTCTTGACTCCAACCTGGTGTAGGCATCATCACTACACTCTCTTGAGCTCTTCTCAGGATTCTGTATTTCCTTGGATTGGGGTTTTGAGGCACATGATCTCGTTCACCCTCAGTTTTACTATTGGCTCTTTCTATTTCTTTCTTACTTTTCCACTGCAGTTGTTTCCTTTCCCTTTGAAGAACCTTCTCGAACTTGACATTCTTAGAGGCTTCTGACAAGGTAGGTGATGCGAAAATTAATTTAACACACAAATTTAACCCCTCTTTTGACAACTGTAGTATAAGTATAAGTAGGGATCGTTCTGAATCGGGGATTATGAGGGCTTGCTAATAACCTCTAAACTGACTCAAAAGCATAAAACTAAACTTAAAAATACTTAACAAGACTCACAAGACTTAAAGCAAACTTAAAATACTCAAAACAGCTTAAAACAACTAATAAACTTAAACTAGACACTAGGAATGACTTTCGACGAAAATTGACTTTTACTTGAATCAAAACATTTAAAAACACAAATTAAAACAGATTATAACTAATTAGACACACTAAAGTAAAGGGGGATTGACTTTTGGACGAAGTTGAAACAAACAAACAAGTATGAAAAACTAGACAGATTGTAAAACAAATTTGAGAAATAAGATGATGGATGGGATATCTAGAGGCTTTTTCTCCACACATGACATGTATGCAAATAATTTGATTTCCAATTACTACTTCATTGAATTATGAACGACAATGCTCCAAATTAACCGTGACATCACTAGTTAACTCTCAGATTTTCCTTGTTTTATTGAATTGGATGACATCATTCGACAACCCAAAACATTCTTCTAAAGTTCCCTACATGACATCATAATAGAGATACAATCAAAGATCATTACATTTAATGAAAATCATAAGCATTGACAAAGTACTTGCAACTATGACATCATGTCACTCATGCTAGGAATTGAACTTAACGCGATCGTTTATAAGCGACCTTCACTACATGTGAATATAAAGTTTGTAACGATTATGTGAAACTTCCTTATATTTTAGCAACGGATTTATGCATGCCAATTAAGTGTCGACCCTTAATTAACAAATACAAATAAGTTATCAATCAAAATAGTTAAGCCAATTGCATTCACGATTCAAGAGTTCATAACTGGAATTTATCAAATTATATTGCACACACATAATCATGGCTTTGAAATCACCCCTAGCCA